GTCCCTGGGAGGGTACCTTGCTTTAATTGAGTATGGCTTGATCCTTCCAGGAGACCTCTCCACCTATTTCCTGAGCTATATCCTAAACCTATTGAGAGAAGCAGATGGTGGGGGTTGAAAAGCTCAGTCTGGACTGCTTTTGTTGGCTTTTGGGGTTTGTTTGACCCAGGTAGTCTGTTGGGAAGGCCCAGGGCTCCTTCTGCAGCTTCAATCTCATGTGGCAGTGATGATTCCTCGGTCTTTGATCCTCAGCCCAGCTCAGCTGTGCACAGTTGCTGAATTGTTATTTAGCACAGTGGCTGTATTCAGGAAATACCCAAAACCATGGAATCATGGAATATCCTGAGCTGGAAGGGTCATTGATCCAACACAGACACCCCAGCAGTCCCACCCTGTGCATCCCTGAGAGCATTGTCCAAACACTCCTGGAGCTTTAGCAAGGTTGAGGCCACCATCATTCCCTGGAGAGCTTGGGCAGTGCCCACCACCCTCTGGGGGAAGAAACTTTTTTTTCCTTTTTTTTTTTTTTTTTATTTTTTTTTTTTTTTTTTTTTTTAAATTTTTTTTTTTTTTTAGTTTATTTAAATAAAAAAAACATGAATGGCAAACCGGAAGAGCACTATTTGGCCATCTGTTTGAACGGAGACTATTTGGCCATCTGTTTGAACAGAGAATTCTGGAATGTGTTTCCCTGAAGAGGAGCCAAGTTCTTGGCACTATTTTCTATCTTCTGAGGGGAGGGAAAAAAAAAGGGAGAGAATGTGCATGTGTGAGACAACTGGCTGCTGTTGTCAAAATGCACATGTCACTGGGAATATAAAATACAGGCTTTTAGAGCTGCCTCAGTCCTACCTTTTGTCTTGCCCTGCCACAGTAGATGTTCAGCTGCTGCCTGCGCTTGTTGTGTGGCCATGCCCCCAAATTTATCCTTCTCATATAGCTAAATAACTTCATCCCCGTGGTAATTTGCCTGAATAAAGAGCCTGGTGAGCACAGTGGAGCCTGGGGATGCAGCAGGAAAATCAGCGGCTGCTCCGGTGAGCAATTACGCGGTGGAACAGCTCTGGGCGAGAAGAGGGAGTGGCCAGGCTGTCAGAGCCTGGATTGAAGCCTTCATCCCCGGAATTCCCCATGTAATATCCAGCTTTTGTAACGGGGAGCACCTCTGATTACAAATGTGTGCAGTGTTTAAAATTAATACTGATTTTTTCACCGGGTAATTTTGGTGCTGCCTCTGATTCTGCGCTCACCTCTGGAGTGTGGTGCATGGAAATGAGATCAGCAAGCTGCTGCTCATCCCTCCCGTTCCCATTTGTGCTTGGTTGTAAATTGCTGATGCACAGAGTTTATTCAGCTTGATGGTGATCAAAGGTGTGTGTTTGTGTGGGGCATTTTAAAGCAGGAGCGTGGTCAGATGCACCTGGGAGAGCTGGGGTGGTCTGTGGGCTGTGCTGGATGGGTTTGGGCACAGGAGCAGCGTTTGTCACCTGTAAAAATTCTGAAAATGAGCCTATGTGAATGGATGCTGCTCTAGCCCTAGAAAACTGGGAATAACTGCCTGGAAGTGTCTGTGGTGCCCCATCCTTTGGCCTCCCCTACAGGTACATCTGGGAGCTGAGAGACTCTCTCATTAAAAAGCTGCGTGTGTCATAATCCTGATGGGACCAGAGCAAAGCCAGCCACCTCCCCTGGGAGTGCTGCTATGGGGTTTGAGCTCCTTCTTTATATGAAGGTCATTTCTTTTGTTCTCAGTGATGCTGGTTTAGACGGTAATTCCTGGCTCCATCACATTCACAGATACTTAGGAAAATAGAGGGGGTATTTTGTAGCCCTGGGAGAGTGTTTGGCTTCCTCAAGGGTTGCTGTAGTCCCATATTTGAACTGGCTGATCTAATTCCTCTTTGCCTCTGGTGCTTTACAAACTCCAAGATGTATTTTTGTAAAAATAACGAACGCGGTGCTGTCCAAGCTGAACTGTCCCAAAATTGCTGCCCTTGCCCTGTTTTTGCTTGCCCAGACTGCTCATGGGTCTCATCAAGGCTCAGCAAATCAAAGGCAGAAGCAGTTTATTGTTTGCCTTAATCCCACGGCCACAGATACCTCCAGGGTATACCCTTGCTCTTTCTATTCTTCACTGTTTATGCTTTTGTTTGTGTAAATTCTTGATATTGAGGTGGGTTTTCTTAATCTCTGTCCTGTGCAGCACCTAATTTTGTGGTGTGCTCGTGATAAGGGCTCCTTAATGGTGTAGAAGCACAAGTTATTAGGGATGAATCCTGCTGTGAGCTGAGATTTGCATAAAATAATTCTTACTCGAGGGATGAGCGTGAGTTTGCTGTTCCATTTCTGAGCCTTCGGATTTGTTTTGAAATATTTAGTACAGCTTGGAAATGCAGGGCACTCTCTGAAACAGTTTAGTTGGAGGGGTGTTAAATTCCAATTATTTGTCGTGAGATACTTAAATCCAAACAAAAATCAAGGATTGTGAGAATGTGCCTATTTCAGCTAATGAGCACATCCCGCTTTTAAGGGTGAAGAAGGCACTTGAGGAGATTTGAGCTGGCTGTGCCTGTTGGCTGCAGCAGGGTGACAGCCCTTGGTGAAGTGGGACAGCATGTCAGGATCTGAATTTAATACTGGAAATAAAAATAATTGCACTGAGCTCCACGCCCAGTAGTTTTGGGGAAGGCAAGGAGCAGGTCCCCAAGGTGATCATTTAGGAAAAGAGCTGCTGACTAACTTGCATTGTATTTATTAAATTCAATACCCTTTTCCAAGCTGCTCTAAACAGTCAAATCAGAAAGAATAAATCTCTTAGGGCTCACGTTTGTGAACTGGATATATGTACGCTCAGATACTTCTTTATTTTTCAGTTCTCTACTTTATTCCACCCTGCCTGTACCTCCGTTGTCCCTCTGAGGAGTGTTTGAAGGTGCAGTCAGACTGGCAAGGCATCCTGTTGACCATAGGAATAATGAGTTGGCTCCTCGATGCATTTGGCGTGTGGTATTTTATAATTAGCTGGGGGAACTTTCAGTGTTTAAAAATAAAAAGGAACTAGGAAATGGGAATTAGGCAGAACTTTCCCTCTCTGATCACACATACACTGCATTTCTATTGTTACTTACAGCTTTAAAACCCCTCTCTGGAGGGCTCTATATTAAGTAATTCATCTTAGTTAACACTTCATTGGGAAGAGTGTGCAATTAATGGGCAATGTATCGAAATCATGGCCTGATTAATAGAAATCCAGTTCCTGAGAGCTGAGACTGGTTTCCTTTACAAGTTTTACACGTTTGGGATTGTTCTTTTCAGGTTCAGTAATGATGTATATTTATCTGACATTTAATCTGTGAAGGCAGGACTGAAATCCACTTTGTGAGCGAGATAATGAAAATCCATACATAGCTCTTCTGCTCCTTCTGTGCCATTAAACAATCAGAAATGTGATAATCCTAATTGTTGCATGTTTAATACTGCTTATGGGGTAAGTTTATAAAGAAAAGATTAAAAAAAACCTCTGAACAAAAAACCCCAGCACAAACCCACAAAACCTCCTGTTCTTACATCTTTTATTAAACACACAATGTGTTTAAACATGCTTAAGTGTTGCACAGAGCTGAGCTGTGGAGTAATGTTGGTTTGAAAGTTGCTGTTGTGGTTGGGTTGGGGGGGGATGGTGGGTCTAAGGCAGTGTGGGGTTCCCCTAAGGCAGCAGTTTTTGTGCAGATTGTTGTGTTTGGAGGATCAGCGTTAGCTGGGAGTGCTGACTTGCTTGGGGAGCTTGTTTGGAGATCAAGTTGGAGCTGTTGGCTCTCAGCACATTTCAGTGCATTGGTTTTGGTAGAATTACAAGTTTTGAAGCTGGGAAATAGGGTTCAAATGGGAACTAATTCCAGTTTTAAAAACTAGGAAGAAGAGAGAAGTTCAGGGTGTGTTAGTGGTGGGTGTGTTTTATCTCAGTGTGGGAAGCCCAGCTGTGAGGGTGGGTGATGGTAAGCTGGAGGCCTTGGGGACTTTGGGGCTTAGGTGGGGAGATAAGAGTGGGTTTGCTCCAGGAGAGGAGCCTAAATACCTCCCCAGTGCTTAGGCCAAACTCGCTAATCCTGGCTTAGGCTCTGTCACACCAGAAGCCCTAAATGGGATTTGTCGTTTTCGAGAGAGGCAGCAGAGTGCCCAAAATGGGCTTTTATCCCCAAAAGAAGCAATCCCAACCCTGCCTTGGGGTGGTGGCTGAGTCCCTGTGAGCCAGGGGACAGGAGGTGACAGAGCAGCTGCTCCAGCTGCTGGGGTTGGAGCCTCCCTTATGTCACAGGCAGCCCTTGTTCTGCATTCCCTGCAAATACAGGATCAGGAATAGGATGTGGCTGGGGGCTGTGAGTCTGCTGTCTTTATCCAGGTGTCCAGAGCAGGTCTGGGATTCATCCCAAGGCAGGAGCACGGGGTTCTGTGCTGCTTTAGTACATCTCTGCAGAGGTAGCACCACTGTAGCTTTTTTGTCTAACATGTGTCTGATATCTTCCCCTAACTGTGGTGTGTGAGTGTAGAGCTCTCATTCCCATAACATCCCACGTGTGTTCTGAGAACTGGGCTTCCCTTGAGGAAATGCTGAAACTGATTTTGGTGGTGAGGCACGACGTTGTTTGTGTGCACCTTTGCCTTTCTTAAAGACACTTCTGTCACAATTATCTAAAACAAAGGTGATACCTACAGGGTTTTAAGTGTATGTATCAACCCAAGGACACCTCATGTGAATTCTAATGCAATTGTTGGCTTCTTCCCACATTATCCTTATTCTTTATATATATATATAAAACGTATATATATAAATAAGGCAAGTACATGAACTTTAAGTAATTCCCATGTGTTCCCATATAAACTTCAGTTACATTCCAGTAGTTGGTTAATTTGCAAAAGACATATTTTTTCCACAAGCGAAGCCTTTTTCTGCTTTGTGCTTTGTATCCTTGCTGTGTGTAACAAGCTGCTTTGTGTGGCAGGTGGGAGATTCAAGAAGGAAATAGTGGTTGATGGACAAAGCTACCTGCTGCTGATCAGAGATGAAGGAGGCCCTCCAGAGGCACAGGTGAGCCCAAAGCCTCGCTTTCCTTGTTTTTCAAAACTTCCTGTGAAAGAACTAGCTCTGCTTTGTTCTGTCCTGGGTCCTTGTCATCCTCCTGCTGGGAGAATTCCAGCATCACTCTCAGGTGAAAAAGTTTTTGTCCAGCAAATGGTTGGGATTTCAGTTATGATGGATGGATGAGTGTGCATAGGAAATGTTTAGGATTCTGACTGAGACCTTCAAGTAAGGATATACAGTTAATTTATCCTGAATTCCAAAGCAATGTGCTTCCCCTAGTGACACATCAGGATTTCACAGAATCACAGAATGGTTTTGGAGGGAAGGGACCTTAAAGTTCATCTCATTCCACCCCTTGCCATGGACAGGGACACCTTCCACTGTCCCCAGGGTGCTCCAAGCCCCATCCAGCCTGGCTTTGGACGTTCAGGGATCCAGGGGCAGCCACAGCTTCTCTGGGCACCCTGTGCCAGGGCCTGCCCTCCCTGCTAGGGAACAATTCTTTCCCAGTATCCCATCCATCCCTGCCCTCTGGCAGTGGGAAGCCATTCCCTGTGTCCTGTCCTGCTCCAGGCCCTTGTCCCAAGTCCCTTTCTAGCCCACTTGAAGCCCTTCTGGAAGGGACTCTGAGGTCTCCCTGGAGCCTTCTCTTCCCCAGGTTGAACACCCCCAGCTCTCCCAGACTGTCCAAGCCATTTGCCTTGGAGAAGACACTTGTGGGTTTGTGTGCCTGACCCTTACTCTGTTTTGAGTAAGAGTTTGCTCGTGTGCTGCTTAAATCACCTCAGACCCAGCCACACTTCCTGCAGGCAGCATCCTTGTCTTGGGCATCCTCCTCTACCTCTCCTCACCTGGGCACTGGCAGGATTTCCTGAGTGTTGGCTGCTGCTGGCCTTGCTTTGCTGAGCTCTTCCGGGAGGGATCAGCTCCCAAACAAGCAGGGATTTAGCATCAGGAACTGATGGTGCTCTGGGCAAGCAGCTGAGGGGGAGCAGTGCCAGCAGCAGCAGCTTGGGTTTCAATGCAGCACCACAGCTCCACGAGGAGGGTGGGAGCATGGGGGAAGGTGCCAGGACAAAGGGGAAGAGAAAGGACGTGGAGGAAATGGAGGCTGAGAGAGACATCCTGGAAGGAAGTCACAGGACAAAATAAAGCATTGGCACATCTGCAGCCGTGTCAGCAGGAGCTACAAGGAGAGCTCTGTCTGGGGCTGGGAGGGATTTGGCTGAAGCACCCCCTGGTTTCCAGCCTCTGATGCTTAGAGAACATTCACTGTAAAGGTGTAGAGGTACAGACAGCAATCTGAGGTGCTTTGGTGCCCTCAAAACTGGGTTTGCAGAGCTCACAGGAGCTGCCTGCACACTGATGAACAGCATGGGGTGTGCTCCTGGTGTGTGCCAGGTGAATCTGGGGCTTTGATTGCTGTTGTCCAGTGCAAAGTGTCCCTGCCTATGGCAGGGGGTTGGAATGAGATGACCTTTAAGGTCCTTTCCAACCCAAACCATTCTGAGATTCTGTGATTGCTGAGGTTTGTTCTCCGTCCTCATGATTTGCCGAAGGGGTTTGAGGTGTCTCACCTTTCAGCACGAGGGTTTCCTGTAAATTCCCTTTGGAGTTTTTGGGTGTAATTTCAAGTTGCATGTCTGTTAAACGAAATCTTTAATCTGTTGATGAATTCCTGCAGTGAAAAGTTGTCTTGTGGCTTCATGAATAATGGGATTGAATTCCAACTGCAGTAAGCAAGGAGCTGATATGTGGAGTTCCTGGCACTGGGTTGTTGGTATTCCCCAGGTTACTGTCCCCTTCTTTTTGGCAGGAAGGGAGAAAAACCAGACTTCCCTGAAGACTCTTTTTGTGGGTCTATGATCTCTCCTTTCTTTGCCTAAGATAAAATGGTTCAAAGATGAAAATAATTCAATTTCCTATTGTAAAACCAAATTAACCTAGTGACTGACCTACAATGAGCTGCTGCATGCAACTTTTAAAATTTAAACTTGTTTTATAATTTGGTTTTGGGCTTGCCTTGAACTACCAGCTCTGCTCACTCACAGTAATAAGTCTGAGAATGGATTTCTATACCATAAGCTGATTTATTCTTGTTTCAAGCCATTCCCTGCACAGTACTCTGGATGAGACATCCAGGGCTTCCAGACCTTGTGTTTCCCAAAATTCCTTTGGTTTTCTGTACCACAGGTCTGATATGCACAAAGATGAAGCTGCATTTCAAAACGAAAAGAGAAATAAGGAACATTTTGGAAATGTTTTGTGTCTGCAGGAACTGTACTATGTAAATCTGTGGAATATTTTAAAGTTATCTTTATTAGAAGGCTGCTGTACACACTGCTCAGACGTTCAGAGGGTTTATAGAGACTGTTGGCTTCCAAATGGATGCCTTAAGGACACTGCAGTTGTTGGGAAGAGTCTTTGGCATGATGCTGCTTGAGTCCAGTCAACAAAAACCATTTTATGATGAGACCCAAGCCCACATCTCCCAAATAAGGATGCTGTCTCCAGTTCCTCTGCTTGCATCTTCTGGTTTGAACAGTTTAACAGAGTGATGGTTGACTTTATTCTAGTAGTGACTCTGCTATGTGTTAACCAGTCCTGTCTTTTCCCTCTGGAAGGTTGTCCTCCTGGACTGTCTTGAAAACCTCAAAACAATTTTTTGTCTATTTTTACACCATAACAGTCCAGGCAATGTTTGGTTTCAGTACAATCATCATGAATATGCAGAGCCTTTCCCCAGTGAGCCTCTCTGTTCAGTGTGTCCCCTGGCATGTTGTAGTAATAATATAACAAAGAGCATGAAAATCCCCTGGCTGAAGATTGTTTCCATTGCTCTAAATTTGGGTAGGAATGGAGTCACTTAGGGAAAAATAAAGGCAGCGAGGTAAGCTGGAGTTTTTTCTTGACATCCTGTTTATATTCACTGTTAAGTGAAGTGTCTTTAAACAATCTTCGTTCACTTGTGAACTAAAGGCTTCTCACTTGCATGGTCACTGAGGAGCACCTTGGCTTGGCCTGTGCACCTGCATGTCCCTCAGCAGGTTCCTGATGCCAAGAGAGAGCAGTTTGCTCTTCCACTGAAAGCAGAACGAGGCACTTGGTGAAGAACTGGAAGTCTCAAATGAATGCTTTTGGACGTGGATTAAGATGTGAGGATTCCTAGCAATGTCTGTCCTGGCATTGCCAGCCACCTCAGCATGCATGCATGCAAATCACAGCATGGGGACTCAGGCAGCACTGCAGAGGAGTGCTGCTCATTGCAAATGCACAGATCCAGCAGTCCAGATCCTGCTGTGTTCTCTGGGAATCAAACCCAGTGTGCACTGACAGTAGCTGGGCTGGTGGTTACACACCCCAGTGAAGAAGAGATGCTCTTATGGAGAAATGCCTTGTGCACCCCAGATCCCATGGCTTGCAGGGTGATGAGATTCAGCATTTTAGCAGCTTATCCCTCTGCTGAGGCCCTGGTTGGTTGTGAATTTTTCTGGGGTGCTTTTTGCCTTGCAGGAAGGTAAGAACGTTTCTCTCTTGGCTTTCCTTCCTTCCCCCTCCTCGCTGCTCTTCTCACAGTTGGCCTTTTCCATTTTTGTCCCGCAGTTTGCCATGTGGGTGGATGCTGTTATCTTTGTGTTCAGCTTGGAGGATGAAGTCAGCTTCCAGACTGTTTACCACTACTACAGCCGCATGGCCAACTATCGCAACACTAGTGAGATGCCCATGGTCCTGGTGGGCACCCAGGGTAAGTGCAGCCCCGATTTCCAGCTGGGGCTGGGACACCACAGTGACTCTTCCAAGCTGGCAAAGCCGTGTCCTGTCCTTTCCCCTTTGCTACAGGGCTGTGGCATTGCAAGAATTGTATTTGAGGGGAGGGAAAAATGCCCTGGCAGCTCATTTGGAGAGAGGGAGTGTGGGACTTCAGCAGGGAAGAAAGAGGGGAAGTTAAGGTTAGATATGTCCAAGAAATTCTTCCCTATGAGGGTGGACAGGCCTTGGCACAGGGTGCCCAGAGAAGCTGTGATTGCCCCTGGATCCCCAAAGCCAGGCTGGACATTGGAGCAACCTGGGACAGTGGAAGGTTTCCCTGCACATGGCAGGGGGTGGCACAAAATGATCTTTAAGGTCATTCCAACTCACTGTAGGAATCTATGACTTGCAAAGAAATTTTAAGTAATGCTTTCAGTGCATGCTGGTCATGGCGGTTTTCTTGCTCACCCGGGAGATACCCTCGTTGAATTTGGGCAGGTGAATCAGTTGTGTAGGGAAGTTCTGCAGCCAGACCAGTTTCCATGTGCTTGGCAGTCTGGAAGGGTTCAACACACTGGCATTGCTGAGAGGCAAAAGGATGAGAGGTGGAAAACCTCCAGCAGCACAGTAGGAAGCAGAAGTGAACCCTGGCCTCAGGCTGGGCTTCTGGGAGACTTCTGTAAATCAAGTAGAAATGCAGCTTTTTGCCACCTGAGCCAACCTCTCCCTCCAGTTTTCCCTTCTGCTGTCCCGAAGGAAAATATGGCAAAGGAAATGTACCCAAAATATTTCAGTTTCTTTGGCATTTGAGTGGTCTTTGGAATATTCTTTGCCTTGTGCCAGCATATCCCAGTAATATTTTGCCAGTTTTCCATACTGTGATTGGTTTACTGCATTGTAGAGTTGAGGCTGTTCTGTTCCTGACCATATAGAACCACGGAATCATTAAGGTCAGAAAAAACCCTTTGAAGTCATCAAACCCAACTGTTCCCTCAGCACTGCCAATGCCAGCACTAAACCATGTCCTCAGGTGCTGCATCCACAGCACTTCTACATCCTTCCAGAGATGGTGACTCCAGCACTGCCCTGGGCTGGACAACCCTTTGACACAATCTGAGGCCATTTCTCCTCGTCCTGTCCCTTGTTCCTTGGGTACAGAGTCCACCTGGCTGTCCCCTCCTGTCAGGGAGTTGTGCAGAGCCAGAAGGTTCCCCCTGAGCCTCCTTTTCTCCAGGCTGAGCTCCCGCAGCTGCTCCTCACTCCTGTTAAATTCCTTCTCTCTGTTGCATCTCTTTTACAAGAGTATCCCAAACTTGCTGTTCTGTGTTGGAGACAGAACTCAGGTGATTTGTTGTTGGTTTAATTTTGGGCATCCACCCTTTAGTGTGTCCCAGTGGTTTTGGTGGTGTTGGAGCTTTTTGGTGTTTTTTCAGCCAAGTGGTCAAGGAGCAGTTAGCCTTCCCCTGCCTCTTGCCAAGGGGTGACAGTGCAGAGGGGATGTGTGGGCAGCAGGGAAGGAGGAATCACAATCCAGCTGCAGGAAGGAAACAGATGATAAGAAGGAGAAGGGGAAGTAGGAACAGAAAAAGTCTTAGGACAGCAGAAACTGCACCAAAAAGCAGAAAGGAGCTGCTTTGAAGGGCCACGTTTTGGGCTTGAAACTGGAGTTGAAAAGATGAAGGGGAAACATTTCTCCAATTTTTTTTTTCCTTTGTGCCCTTCTGACACTGGGGTATGGTTTTCCATCTCCTTCCTGTTACGTCCAGAAAAAGAAAAGTTCATTTTCTGCTGCAGCACTGATGCAAAAGGGGATTTTTTGAAAAGATGGAAATAATGGTAATTCTAGGAATAAGCATCAGGAAAAAACAAAAAGCTTTTTGTCTGTGTTTGACAGAGAAATAAAATATATGATATATATAAATACACTTGTTAAGATGCATATTTGAAATATACCTCTTTCGTATCATAGGATCCCAGAATGGTTTGGGATGGAGAGCACCTTAAAGCACATTTAATTCCAACTCTGTGCCGTGGGCAGGGACACCTTCTACTAGCCCTGGTTGCTCCAAGCCCTGTCCGACCTGAACTTGGTTGTGTCAGATATCCCTGAAACGAGACGTGAGATGAAATCTTCCCCAAAATATCAACACTGGCCCAGTGGTTCCAGATATTCTCCCCTGAGTTCCAAAGCTAACTCAGTGTCCCAGCCTGAGGCACCTGGGAACAATGAGGCAAACTTTGGGAAGCTGTGCTGTTCTGGAGCTGAAGCCTGTCAGTTCCTTTCTGGTTAAATGTTATCAGCGCCCTCTGCTGATAAAAAATAGGCTCCTACTTTTCCTAATTTCTGCTTTATTTTTGTTAATTGGGTCTGATGAGAAGGTAATGATTACATCAGTTGATGTCTGGTCCTGTCATGCCCGGGGCAAAGCCTCAAGTACAGCGTTCCAGAGGCATTGATTCCATGTTGAGGTTCAGGTGATGCTTTTTTCCCAAAGAACAGATCTGTTCTGCTGCTGTGGGCAGTTGCAGATTTCAAGGAATACTTTCTGGGCAGCTGTAAATGCTGAAATTAGTGCCTGTTTTAGAATCCCAGAATGGTTTGGGCTGAAAGGGACCTTGAAGATCATTGAGTGCCACCCCCTGCCATGGCAAGGACACCTTCCACTATCCCAGGTTGCTCCAAGGCCCTTCCAGCCTGGCCTGGGACACTTGCACGGATCCAAGGGCGGAAGAGTAACACTGTATTCCTGGGGGAAAAAAGTTCCTTTTCAAGATCTGTTAATAAGATTATCACTTCAAATAGTATCACCTTTGTATACCGAGTTCATCACTATGATGGAATAGCAAGAAAGAAGCTTCTCCTCTGTCTATTCTGCTGTAAGGTTTTTTCAACTCCTCTGGATAAGCTCTAGAAAATTAAATTTCTGATTTTCAGCTTTCATGAAAAGAAGCTCTTGGAGAGAGTTACCAAGTGTGATTGTTTAGAAAAATACAATTTTTATCAGCTTTCCAATACGTTCCCATAACATGTCTGGGTGCCTTTACAGTAGAGTTTGAAAATGTAATTTACAATTAAGTTCTATTTCTTGTAAATATATAATGTTTCATATTTCACACTCTATAGTCACTGATATTTACAGAGGCCTAAAAATCATTTGACAGGTTTCTACTAATCACCCACTTGTTTCCCTAAATATATTTTACATCAGAGCTCATGCTCTTTCATGTGATGGTGTATTTTTTTTTTCCTTTTTGACAGCAACTGAGCTCAGTATATGTATTTAAGAAAAACAAAAAGCATTGGAGGTTTTCCCCCTGGCTTTTGGAATCAGTGTACTGGTAATTTTAATAAGGAAATGAAAATTGGAGTGATATGCACCCTATTTCATGGTTTGTCTTTAAACTCTCTGCTTGGGTATTGGTCAGTATAAGAGGAGCTGGCCTGAAGTTGCACCAGGGGAGGTTCAGGTTGGGTGTTTCTCATGGAAAGGGTTGTCAGGCATTGGAACCATCCCTGGATGTGCTCAAAAACCACGTGGTTGTGGCACTTGAGGACATGGGCTAGTGCTGACGGTGGGTTGACATTAACACCTGGTGATCTCAGAGGCTTGCAGGACTCTCCTGTGACTGTGAATCGCAGCCTGGTGTTTGCCAGTGACCTTTAATGGGTATTTTCCCCCTGTCGTTATGCAGATGCTATCAGCTCCACCAACCCCCGTGTCATCGATGATGCCAGAGCCAGGAAGTTGTCCAACGACCTCAAGAGATGCACTTATTACGAGACGTGTGCCACCTACGGGCTCAACGTGGAGAGAGTCTTCCATGACGGTACTGCTGCCCCTCCTCATCCGCACCTCGCTCCATCCTCTGCCTGCTCTAAGGGACCGCCCATCGGGGATAGCTCAGATACTTGCCCGCTCAGTTCAAGAAAATGCCCGATTTTTAGGCATTTTTGTTGTTTTCTAAGACAGCTCCTTAACTTGAACGCAGTGCATGTGCACTGATGTGTTCTCCACCAGCACCTTTAGTCTTAAGCATCTTAAGCTATTTTTAGTCCTTATTTAATTTTCAGTTTTCTTTGGTTTGGTTTTAGTGCTCGTGGAGAGGCTGAGGGGCTGTTGGTGCAGAGTAGCTGAAAATACTATGTTTGAGCACCGTCGTGTTCATGGGGTGTTAATTGAGAGATAGGTTGAGTGTTGGGAAGGAATTGTTCCCTGGGAGGGTGGGCAGGCCCTGGCACAGGGTGCTGCCCAGAGCAGCTGTGGCTGGCCCTGGATCCCTGGCAGTGTCCCAGGCCAGGTTGGACACTGGGGCTTGGAGCACCCTGGGATAGTGGAATGTGTCCCTGCCCATGGTAGGGGTGGGATTGTGTAGGCTTTAAGCTCCCTTCCCACCCAAACCATTCTGGGACTCTTTGAGAGTCCTGTGTAGTGATTTTGATCCTTGTGGGTCCGTCCCACATCAGGATATTCTAAGTCCATGATCCTGGAGTTGTATAAGATGGGATCTGTGCCCCCTCTAGTGGAATTTCAGCCACGTGTCCTGGAGCTTGGCTGGCTTCTCTTCTGGCCAGGCTCCTCTGGTGGCTGAACGTGTCAGCCCCTCACAGCAGCTTTCTGTGTCTAAAAACCTTAATTAAGTTTTAATGCTTCTCTGAGCTCCTTAGTTCTGGTGGTTTTTGTTGCCAGCTTCTTGTCTTGCTCTGCCTGTGCTTACTTGAGGCAGTGTCACATCAGCACCTTGCAGTGGGGTGTGAAAAGACACTTCAAATTCAAAACAAAAAGGCAAAAATTCCATATTTTTACATGGAATGAAAAGGTGATACATTCTAATGTTTACACTGGGGAAAAAGAAAATTGTTGTAATTTTTACATGTGAAGAAAAGGGGCAAAACATTGCACATTTTACGTGGAAAATACTGGCATGCACCTGTTTTTTACCCATGCTGTTGGTCAGATTTCGGAGAGGAGTATTTGAAGCTGCATCTTCTTGCTCTTCTCCCTGTTTTCTTTTGAACTAGTTGCAAAAATTACTGTTTTGACTGCCTAGATTTTCTATATCGATTAGGAGTTTCAAAGAGCCATTAGGGGGTTTTGTTAGCACACTTATTTTTGAGTGCTGGCTCGAGTTAGATTGTTAATTATATATTCTGAGCCCTGGTGTTTGTGACTCTGTCTACAGTCCTCTTCTTGTTTTTTTTTTCCCTTTCTCAGGGATTTTAAGAGAAGTCTCTTGGCACAAAGCTAGTGTGATAAACTTGTAAGCTTTCAGGAGGCTCATTTGTCTCTCTTTGGCCACAAAAAAGAATTGACAGGGATCATGTGTTTTAAGAAATATCAGGGTGTTGTTTTACCCCCATGGCAGCCAACCAACTCTTTAATATTTGCCAGCTTATAGGATTAGAAATGCTTCTCTATGAATGGGTTACACTTGCCAGACATGTCTGGGACCGAATCCAATTCCTGATAATTTTTGCTGTTTATTTCAGCAGGAAACAAAGCAACTTCTTAACCCCATTAAATGAGGGGGTGTGAATGAACACTGCAAGCTGTTAATAGGAAACACTTGACTAAATATCCCTTGGTTTGTGCTGCTCTGGGGCGTTCAGGTTCAGTGTAGCTTTAAGGTCCCTTTCAGTCTAAACTATTCTGGGATTCTCTGATAGACAAAAAACAATCCACGTGAGGATGTTCCAGCCCACAGACTTTTCTTCTGAAGCACACAATTAGTGGGTTTTGACACTAGCCCCTGGTTTGGGCTGCTTTGCTTTCAGGCTTTTTTTAAAAATCAGTTTTATTGTTTCTATGTTGTGCCTTGCTGTGATGTAGACCTACCTTTTGGAGGAAGAAATTGGAGATGGCATTGAAGAGCCTTTTACCCCTTCGTTGCACACACTTTAGAAATTAAATTTCTAATTTGTCCCCTCCAAGCAGCTACTGAACCCGTGGCCATTTGTTTCGATTCTTTTGTGATAACTCATTTCCCATTTTCTCCACAGCTGAGTGGTAAAATAATTTAACTTGAATGATTATTGTTATTATGAAAATGCTACTTTATTCTCGAGTTAAATCCAAATACCTCATTTCCAACGCTTCATTACAGCTGATAAGCTCACTATTGATAGTAACAGAGATAGAATCATTGAATCACTTGGGTTGGAAAAGACCCTTAAGATCATTAAGTCCACTGGTTCATATTTTCTAAGAGGAATGCTGAGGAAAGTGAAAGCCAAAAATCCTCCTTCACATTCTGCTATTTTAGAGGCTGTTTTTAATCTTCAGCCATGTCCCACTGAGGTGTAATCTCATATACTTTTGGGAGTAAAAACCTAAATTTCAGGTTGAAATAAAAAAGGGAAGTTCCATGTTTCAAGGGTTTAGCTTAGTAATGTGCCCGACTATGGAGGTTAATATATTCTTTCTTATTTTTTTGGTATTTTGAATAGTTGAATAAGGGAATTGCATTTTAAAAATCAGATAAATGCTAGTAAGATGCATTTTGCTTCATAATTAAGAATTAGAGACTTTTTTCCTCCTGCTTATCAGAATGGATTCTATCAATGACATTGGAAATTATTATTTTAATAGTTCTTGTCAGCATAGTATTGTAATGACTGTGTACTGCCCCAGGATGCCTTTTTAATGGTTTTAGCCTTCTTGAATTAGCTTGATGTACCATTAATGCATGAGAATTGCTTTTATTTCTGTTCACAGTGTATTCATAACCACACATCTTGCCCTGCTTTACGTTCAGATTTTCCCTGACCCATTTAACTGTGGGCCATGCAAGTCCCTGACCACGAAGGAGCAAATGTTCAAATATTTAGAGGATAAAATTTTACTATCACAGGGCGTGAAACAAAAGGGTTTGAGTCTAACTTGAGTTCAGAGTTGAATCTCTGTTGCTTAGCAGTTCAACCAAGGGGTTTTACCTCATCTAGATGGCTGAAACCCCAGATCGTGATCTAGTACTGCCCAAAATAGCAAGAAAGTTGTGAGTGTTGAGGCAGGAGTTGCAGTATGTGGTGGCAGAGGCCAAAATTATTGAAAATTGATGCTGCCTCACGATTTCCACTTTGCTCTGGTGCTGTGCTGCAGCTACCAGTTCTTTTGGGTGCTTTATTTGCAAATTTGTGGGGTTTTGCCCTTTTCTGACCCAGAGATTGGGCATCTGAGAGGTGTTTTAAAAAACTTTTTTTCTATTTTCAGTCTCATATGAAGGGTGAGACTACATAGATGTTACAATTCACACCATCACAATCAGAAGCCAACTATCTCTACAAATCAATTTCCCAGACAAATTAACTAATCTTTTATTAAGGAATGTGCCTGCTCTGTGTAAAAAACTTACCAGACTTACTTCGTTTCCAGATCCAAATAGTGTTTCCGTGTAGTGTGGTGTTGAACAAAGGTGTTTTAAAAGGAGAACTTCAAAGCACCATTTCTCTGTTAAGGGATGGGGGATGACAAATTAATGCTGGTGCAGGCGGATTGAGGGGAAGGGCTGTCACTTGTCATCAGCGTGCTCAAGTCAGCTTTTATAGATGTGTTTTCATTAGGAAATGCTAATCAGCCTTATGGGAAGTAAATAAAAGCGAAGTAAATCGGTCCCATCCCGACAGGTGTTTTGGGAAGATCCGATGTTACTCTGGCACTGGATGTGGCCTGAGGGATTCTGTGCTTGGGGAGCTGGTGGGGACCCCAGGGCAGGGCAGAATGAGGTAGCGGCTCCTTTGGCTCTGGGCATTCCATGGAATTCCTTGGATTTCAATGAGGCCTGCGGGATTGTGGCAGCCATGAGCTTCTCTCAGCATTCAGGCTGGTCACCCACGGCCTGGATCAGCCTGCTGACTCCTTGGCAGGCTTCAGAACCGCTGGGAAATCAACACTTTGGCCGGTTAGATATTTGTATGTTCCTGGTTTGTTTGGTTTGGGTTGTTTGAAGGAGAAAATGATATGAGGGAGTAAATTTCTTTTCCTCGATATTATGGCTTAGCCTGGAGCAACAAAAGCTCAAGCCGCGTTCATTTTAAGCCCCCTTTCATTTGAAGTAGTTTCAGTGTTAAGTTCGTTTTAAGACTTTGATTTTTAACGTGAAATGAAGGTTTTTGATCTTTATTCCGCGTTCCGTGTCCCTGGGAGTAACGGAGCGGGGTGGGAGCGGCCGCCAGGGGGCGCCCGAGCCGCTGCGTGAGGGGCCCGTGATGGCGACGGCGGCGCCGCTCGGGGCTTTGTGTCCCAGCGCCGGCAGCGACAAACGCTGCGGCCGCCAGAGTCGGTTGGAAAGGGAAGAGACGTGAACACACTGATCTGCTCGCTCTCGTCTTGTGAGGTGTTTCCGTTTGTGTTTTATTCTGAACTTGCTTTGCCCTTGCACTTACTTTTTACCCTTCCTGCTTGCCTGTAACTCTTAGGGGCCATTAATAAATGAGCAGAGGTTTTTTTGGTTTGTGTTTTTTGTTTTGTTTTGTTTGGTGTATTTTTTTTTTTGGTTTGGGTTTGGGTTTGTTTTTTTTGTTTGCACAGGTAATCTCTCAGCCCCATTCCCATAGATGACAATTCTTAGTGTCAAAAATCAGCCTGTACGCTGTTGTAGGAAGGCCCAGTGTTAGGTAGCAGGAGGAAATTAACCAATACCCAAACTTTATAAAACGTAGGCTTGAAATGAGCTGTGTGAATTCGGCAGTGCCTGGTGAACCAGGTGAAGAAGCCTTCATCCTGGGGAACAGTTGGCATCAATAGGATTGGGCTGGAAAATGGATCCAATCCTTGGATTTATATTTTCTGACTGATTACCAGACTTCCCACTTCACTCATTACAGCTCAAGA